TGCTATCTCAACTTTTATCAGGAAAGTATGTGCAATCTGACTGTGACAGCACAAAGACGACTCAGTGTGCTGAATGTGGAGGTGGATTCTATACAGCCACAAAAAATTATTTGAATAAATGCCATGTCTGCAAGGACTGTAGTTCCCGTAAGTAACACACGTGCATGTACAGTACTGTATACACAAACACACACATTGTTTGTCACAATGCAAACAAAAGAACTTTCTCTTCCACCCACTGACTTTTTAATAGACGTTCAGCTATTGTTTCTTAACCTGAAAAAAATCACAAAAGCATTTTTTAAACATCTTGCACTATTCCTCTTAGTGAGTTTTTGATTAGGCCACATTTGATGAAGTGATACAACCATAAGCCTTTGTTCTGCATATTTCACTCAGTGTGAAAATCATGTAGTTTAAATTAAGAGCTCAAGTTAACCCACACATACAATATAATAATCCTAACCACCTTGAAAACATTTTGCCCCCATACACTTCTAATTTAACAAAGGTACTGGGTGCAGCCTTGTGTATCGACTTTGCACTACCTCTGGTACAAAAGTGACTCCAGCAGCAACAAACATCTGTGTCACATGAAAAAAATGATTTTTTTCAAACCAAGAATGCAACTGAAAAGCAAACTGTGATTTTTGTTAATTTGACTAAAGGTTTTGTAGAGTGAACAATGCCTTCATTGAACTTATGCTTAAACGTTTGTAGTAGAAAGAGTAAAACAACCATAAAGAGAAGCAAAAAGGCTCCAGAGACAAAGCAACCACAGAGACATCTACAAAGAAATACAAACCAACTATAAAATGTCCACAGAGATGACAACAAAAAGACACAATGTCTTTAGTTGAAGGAGATCCAGAACAACCATAAAAGAAACACAAAATGACCAGAGCCTTTTACATGTCTGTGCCCAGGGACTCATTATCTCATAATCTACAAGTATCCCTGTGCTATCTTTAGATTTTCAGTTCAGAAGAGACAAATGTTTATACAGACATATGAGAGCAGCTCAGGACTGATCCAACCTCCAGGACAGACTTTACCTCCTCACTTCTGTCTTCATCTTTGACCCTTTCAGATAACAACCAGAGAAAAGCAAAAGACTGCACAGCTACAGCGGACACGGTGTGTGAGTGTGTGACTGGTTTCTACTGTAGCAATGACCAGTGTGACCACTGCCAGCAAGTGGGAAACTGCCCTCCAGGAGAAGGTGTCAGGCTTCCAGGTAGGCTTCCATTATACATGGCAACATAAATGATCATGTACTCTAGTAAGTTTTCAGATTGTCAGAGTCCTAATTGAGAAATGACTCCACATCTCATTCCTTCTCGAAGCCACTCGCACCAGTAATACAGGCTGTGCCCCATGTGAAAAAGGGACCTACAGCAATGTGACAGATTCCTTCTCACCCTGTAAACCACATACCAGGTAAGACAGTCTCTCCACCATTATGGTCATTACTACAATAAAAGCTGAAGGAGGATGTCGATGGCTAGACTGTGAGCACATCATTTATTATTTATCCACAGGAATGACATCATAACTTTCTAGTACAGCTCTTTTTTGTACATCCATTTCAGTAGGTTTTACTCTGACAAACATGCTCTCTCATTTCCAACTGGCTGTGGATACACTGTACTTATGAGGATATTTGTTTGTCTTTGAATGTCTTTTCCAGATGTGATGAGATTGGGAGAGTGTTGAAAATTCCAGGAACCCTAACAACTAATGCCATCTGTGGCGACATCAAACATCGTGCGTCTCCCATTTTGACTTTGGGCTGTTGTTTCATACGCCTTCTTTTCAAATCTTATCCCAAGTGACTCAGTGTCTGTTGACCTTGAGTTCCGGTCATAGGTTCATGTTAGTAAGAGAGGAAGTAGAAGCAGTACAGAGGGGAAACCATTTCAAAGGAAGAAAACAATGGAGAAAAATATGCTGCAGTTAGTATTTCGTGCTGTGATTGGTGGTAAAAGGTAATTTCACATTAAGAAACTAAAGACTGAAGCTGCAGTAATCAAAATATTTATAATAAAACCTATACAGAATTATGAACTAAAACTGCCCTCAGTTCTGAAAAGCTTAAGTTTCATCTTACTGCTCAGCTGTCGGACCCACAGCTGTACTGTTGTGGTTCATTCTTAACACTCTCATGGCATCATTTTTGCTGCAAAAGGCAGCTGTTTTCAGCAAAAGTTATAAAGATCCATCCATAGCTTGAGAGTAGCTGGTGAACATAGTAGAGCATTTAGCATCTAAAGAGTCAGATACTTTCCTCAGGAGTCATTAGGGACCAAAAACAAAGCCCCAGGTGGCCAACAAATCAATCATAGGTTTAAGGAAAGGAGTCAAGTCTGAGTGGAGGCTGTGAGAAACAAAACACTACAAGCTTTTGGGACTGGACCATGTTCTTATTTTCATAACCAAACTAGCCAGGGTTCCAAATTTACTCAAGTAGCAATAGGTAGTCAGAGGCTGGAATGCACTGTAGGATTAGAGACGGGGGCCATGACGAGATGCAGTGGTGATGGAAAAATAGGAAGGGTTCAGGAGACTGTTGCAAGATGAGTAGCTGTGGCCTGCACTCTACAGCCATGAGGTGATGTTCTGACCTCGATGCTTAGCATCAACATGCTAACATGCTAATGCTATGCACATCCAAATTTTAAAAAGTCTTCTTTTATCCTGTTTAATGGAACATATCAGTATCAGTAGAGGGGCATGGAAGTAAATCCCCGCCAAAGTGTTTGAGGGCACTCTCACCATATTTCAAGCGCTGGTCAATTTGCAACTCAGCATTTGAGAGCACACAGACACAGATTTGTAAGACCAATTTACTCAAGTAGCAATAGGTAGTCAGAGGCTGGAATGCATTGTAGGATTGGAGACTGGGGCCATGACAGGATGCAGTGGTGATGGAAAAATAGGAAGGGTTCAGGAGACTGTTGCATTTGAGAGCACACAGACACAGATTTGTAAGACCAAAATCAGATGTGAGCACGTAATCCCAGCCATGTACACTCGTTTCTAAGTCTGTGTTCTCAGATTTCTCCACAGGGCTTTGTGTGAAAGTCTGTCACTGGAGGTTTTGAAAGTGCACAAATCAAGTTTTGAGTCTATTCATTTTGTATATCACAATACAAGAAGCATGCAGGCACATTTGAAAGAGAGAAAGAGAGGATCAAATGTTGTCAAATTTGTCTCTTCTCTTACAAATCCATGCCTGTGTGCTCTCAAACGCTAATTTGAAAAGTCAGTAGCACTTGTTTCTTTTGTGCAATTTCAAACTTTTTGCCACAGAGTTTCACACAAACCCCGGTGGAGAAACTGGAGATCAGGGACTCAGAATGCATGGTCAGGATTACTCTCTCAAATCCGATTCTGCACTAGTAAACCTGTCTGCACACTATCAAATGTTGAGTTGCAAACTGAGTAGTGCTGGAAATGTGGTTTTTGCACCCTCAAACATTTTGGCAGGGGTTTGCTGACATATAGGGGGAGCAAAAAGTATAGACAGTTGCTGGTTGTGTACATACATGTTAAAAAAATAAATGACCTTGCTGACAGTATCATTAATGAGGAAACAAAAGTAGTATTCAGTGATTACACATTCCCTCTCTATATGTCCTAGAGGTTACAGTGAATTTATAAAGATACTTGTATAATCAGGAGAAGAACTTGATTCAAGTGTATTTAGGCCCCTCTAAAAACCCCTCTTTGTCTCTGTTCTTCAGACTGCTCCTTCATATTGCCGGCGGGCCTGTGGGCAGGATTCGCGTTGACGGTGCTCCTCCTAATGGCTGTCATCATCTGCATGAGGGTAAAACGCAGATCACGCAGAGCAGGTACATGTGTTTGTCACACACTTTTGCTCTTACACTTAAAAAAAATAATTCTGGAGAGAACTGCGTAAATATGACTACTGGTAGTAACTAGTTCCGTTGCTGGGCACAGCTGTGAGACACAACTGGCTTTGAAGTCTTACAGTTTAAGGTCATTGCTTATCTTGCTGAAACATTCCCTCCCACTGTTTCCTTTGCAGTGAATAAAAAAAAAAAAATCTCTGAGTAAAGTCAAATGAATTTCCCATACCTGATTTTCTTATATTAATTAGAATCAAGTGTGGTCTAGAGTTCATTTCTGTTAAAAAGAAAGTGTCAGTTCTGTGTTGTTGTTTTTTTTGCACAAAAACAGAATGTTTATAACCGTAAAACCCTGGCAGGTTTAGTGAGGAGCTGTTATAATGTGATGCTAGACAAGCATGACGAACTCAATGGGGGAAACCACATCCTGTACATATTCAGCCTGACACATTTATTTGGTATAATGTGACGCACACTTTATAGGCAGCCAACTCATACCGAGAAACAAGACCTAGGTATGCGGCACAGTCCCACAAGTGATTGCTTTGACTGAAATTATAATTTCACTGACATTTACTGTAGTTCCAGTGAAGAGGTGTGCTAGTACTGGAATTTACAGATGAAACACAGCTCAATAAAAACAGGTTGGGCGTCAAGAACAAGCGTGTTGATTGTTAACCTGGTGATGAGATGTTTCAGATTAAATGCCCCGGTTTTAAAAGAAGACAGTGTTAGTTTTTTTTGGTTGTTTACAGAAACTGATCATAGTCACATATTCACTAGAGAATACACTGGTTCCAGTGAGTTTCCGGTGTGTTTCTGGTGAATTTGTCTGGTTTCCTTCATATTGTCAAAATATGATTTCTACTCAAATTACTAAAAGAAACCATCTTGCTATGTTGAAAGTTGTGGTTTTATGTGCTGAGGTTCTGAGGTAACGTCTAAGAATTTTAGGTAGTTAGGACTTTATTGATCCCACAATGGGGAAATTGCTGTGTTCCAGCAGCGATAGAGAGCAGCAACAAAACACCATTCCAAAGATATGTGTGGTGTTTGTTTTTGTTTGCGGCGTTTTGCTGCCTGCCCAGTACACTAGCAGTGAACAGAATATGGTTTGTGCAGCTCAAAGCATCGTTTCTAAAGACAAATTACTTCCAGTGAAAACTATTTAAGATCTCTTTGGATTAAACCAGGAAACAAGTACTTTTCAATTTGAGTTTACATTCATTTGCTGAAGGGGGAAAATGTAATTACGTATGTAAGACGTGTAATTAGAAGTATGATTTAGCGACACCACAACAATTAGATGTGAAACCAATAATGGCTCAATATGCAGCTTGAAAACTTGACTAGACGACTCCAGTGCATGTACAGGAAGAATATGAAACTTTCCAGTGAGAGACGAGCAATTCCACTTCCGAAATGAAATTTTTTTTTTTGCAGATTCATATATTCTGGATGTTTTCAGTGAGGAAGATGAAGAAATAGATTCAAGAACTTTTACCTAGATAATTCAAGCAAGAAACAAATATTACTCCAAACAGATAATTTTGTCTAAAAACATGTGTGATGCTCTATATCTTTTAATGGGCAACTTAACTCATATAGGAACAGTAGGGAAAAATGTGCTGAGGCCCGTAAATGTTATTTGGTATGCATATATTCATTGTGTAAAATTGGATGCAAGGCATCTCTACTACCAAACAAGACAAAAATGTATTCAAATTACCACAAACCGACTGATACACATTTGATATGGGGGACATGAAGCTCCTGACGTTTCTTGGGTCTCGGGGCCTGCTTTCACTGATTAGCAATCTAGCCCTATGCCCTGTAAGTATTACAGGTTGCCAGAGAACTCTTGTGGTCAGATAAGATTTGTATCGGCTTCAGTGAATTTCAGTACCAAGTATAGAAAAAGCAGCATATTCAGCCAAATAATGGTGACACAGTGACTGGAACATGCTGAGCACACATAGCAAACAGCAGAAGTAGAATACACAGAATGGACAGACTGACAAGTTTATAGGGCTTTTGATACGTTTTCCACCCTGAAAACTTGACACCATTGGAGTCTGCTGCTGAGCCAGATGAGACTACAACCTGTTTCTCTGTGAAAAAGGAAACAAAGCATTCAAATGAACTGGAGATGTCTTTGATACTCAAAGAGTAAATGTGAGTAGGAGTATCGCTTTAATAGAGTCACACTGAGCTGTGGCACGTGAATTTTACAGTTTTATGAACTGTGGGCAAATTCTTATCAGGATCTGACTAGCAACCGATGCAGTGTCTGTAAATGTTGGAGAGACCGGTGTCACCTACACGCTAATCAAAACCACTCCAAATGAAACAGAAGTTTTAAATCTGTAGTATACATGGTGCATTTGACCAGTCTAAAGCTATTTATTATGGTCATTCAGAGACATTGTGAGCACGATACTGAACAATCTTATTTTTGACCCTGTTCTGTGTGTGACAGCCAGCTTCAGTGATCCTGTGGCTCTGGTGAAGAAGGTTCCTGCAACACTGGCCACCTCAATGGAGCTACCGTTATCATTTACAGAGATAAACGGTCACTGCCAAGAGAGCAACACCATGGATGACTGCAAGTTATCGCTTTTTAACCAAGGTGATTCGTCCTTGAACACTACTGGGTGCAAACACACCCCCGTTTTACATTTTCTATTATAAAACTTTTGTATTTTGAGGGCATTTTTCTGACAGTAGGTGAGATGCTAGAAAATGAGTAAATAAAAACGCAATAAGGGCTCCCAGCCAGACTGACCAGGGACATTGTAAATTTGTGGTCATCTTAACATCTATCCAAGGAACAGGAAAAAGGTCCTCACATTGTCTTGAGCTCCCAGCAATTTAAATCAGCAGTTGCAGTAATGTTTTGATCTATACAAAAGGATATTGAATGAATGAATGACACTTTATTACAGACTCAAGGTCCAGGTTCAGAGACAAATAAAAGCAATAAAAGAACAGTTTAAAACAAAACAATAAAGACAGAAAATACATAAAATGAGAACAAAAAGAACACCCATAAAACTACTGCCCCTTTAAAAGGCAGGCATACCAGTGTTTCCAGAGAACCGAAGTAAAACGCATGTGACTGTGTGCAACATCAGTCAACAATAAAATGATATGATTTTTTGAACCATTCAAGCGACAAATAAATTTAAACATCAGGTTTCTTAAAACAGTAGAAAATGTACTAACTCGAGATGACACGAACAATTCACTTGCACTCGTCCATCTAGGCTTTCTCAATAATATCCTTAGGGCGTCATTGTAAGCTACTGACAGTTTCCGAAGACTGCCCTTTTTATAATTACACCACAGATGGGCAGTGTACTGTACAAGGAAGTACAATACACTTTAAACAAAGCCAGTTTTACTCCCATATTATTAATGTCCGCCCCAATTCTAGGGCTTTTCATATCAATATCATACCCAATATAGCTATATCTATAGAAAGATTATGTTTAAACAGGTTAAAGTGAATAGTCACAAGATAGGAGGAGGAGGCATTTTGCATTTTCACTCAATTCATTGTCACCTAAAGGTTTAAATTTAGATTTAGATGTAAGATCATTTTTGTGATATGGTTAATATTTGGTATACGATTGATGTCTTGGCTATTTCTTGTTGAAACTGGACTACTGTCTAGAAATTTTTAATGGTTTCCAATTTTTTTTCTTTTTTCAGGAATTAATCTTATTTCATGTGATTGTATTGTTTATACATATATTTTTGTGATTTTTCTCATATTTATTGCCTGTGATTGTTCCTTCCATACTGGCATCCTTTGCTCCCTTAGTGGGGAGTTTGGCTCGGACATGGTTGGTCCCCTTTAGAGGCAGATTGTTCTTGAGTCAGTCGGACTGAAAAAACCTGAGTGGTATCTTAGCAGGTGTATATAAATGTGTTTTTCACTGCGATGCCTGTTTAACAATGCCTGACGAAGATCTTGTATAGATCAAAACATTGCTGCTAGAGCTAAATTAAATTGCTGGGAGCTTTTTTTTTCCAGTTTTTTGCCTTTGTTAGGTTTTTTTGGATGTGCGTGTCCAATGTTCTTTGTTCCATCTTAACCTCTAAGTCATATAGTCTGTTCTACACAACAGCCATGTGTGGTCTTCTACTGTTATAAATTTGCACAAACTTTTGATGAGGAAAAAAAATGGAACAGGAACATAGGTGTAAAAGATTAAAGGTATACTCTGTATAAACAAGAAATTTCCTTTAAAGGATGGCCACACTTTCTGTTCTTGTTATCCTCCTAGATGATAACCCGGTCAGACGCAGTATGGACAGCAGCTATCCTATAACACCACTGAAGGTCTCAGTGTCATTTGCTGAACCCACTCACTTCAATGGATGTGCAGGACACAGCAACTTCCTCAGGACCCACTCAGAGCCACAGGAGGACGAGTGGTGTGGGACATAACCAAGTAAATGCTGCAGCAGTATACTGATGGAGAACTGAGACTCCCTTGCACTGGGACATATTGCAACATGTTGTACAAACCTATTTACACCAAGTAGTATTTAATTTCTGCAGATTTGAAGGTGGCTGATAGTTTGTCGCCCCCTGCAGGTCCTTTATTAGAACTGTCAGCTTGGGTGGTTATACATACTGTATAATCAATGAATCCAACATCTTAAAACTCTTGATACCAAGTCACTAAGAACATTTGTGATATGGACAGACTGGGGCAGCTTTGTACTTTAGTTGTTCCTACTAATGTGAATTTGTCTTGGGTAGGAGCTTCTCAAGCTACAGCTCAGCACGGTCTCTATAAAGGACAATTGTTATATTTTATATTTTTCTTACTGTCATTAAATCCAATAAAGGTGTCTAAGCCAGCAACTAATGAATCATAGTCATGGATACTGTCTGTGTAGCCTGATAAATCTTATTCCGCTGTGCCATAGAGCTCCACTGATGTCCAAAAAAATATTAAAACTCATTAGTGAGTTACTGTCGGATTGTGTGACATGTTTGTTCATTATAATAAACCTGGTCACTGCAGTTGTTTCAGAGTCAGTCCCACATACACCATTTTGCTGCTGTACATACTGTATCTAGTGAAATGTGTATTAATCCACAGCGGAAAATATTTCATTGCTCGCCAACAGTTTTAGCATCTCTGTAAGCTGCTTTCGAAAAGAACTAAAGATCTATATTTTAATTAGGAACAATTGGTGTGAGAACCACAAACATTGTTGGCTTTAGATTTATTGACAGTAAGAAAAACAATATAATTCTAATATTATCCTTTAATTTAAACTATGCCTTTGTAATTATTATTTAAAAGACTTCTAACTTGTACTGTTCCAAATTCAGCCAGTGATATAGATTGTGAATTGTACATGTAAACTGATAGATTTTGTTAAGCCTTTTTTTTAAACTACACTGTAGTGCAAATTTTGACTTGAGAATTTCAGTGTTTACGACTTTTAGCACACACATAAACAGGCTTCTGAAATTGTAAACCTTGCAGTATAACCTGGTGTATTAAAGAAGCAGCACTGAGGCCCGACAGATATACGATTTGTTTATAACATTGTGACAGTAGATAGTGCAATATCAGGAACTACGTTGGGAATGTCTACACACGTCATTCGGCTCTGCTGTTCTCTTCTGAATCAGCACCATCAGACAAACTACTAAAACTGTGTGTAGTTTCAGATATTCAGTTTTGGTGTGATAGATCAAAAAACTGAGGACAATAAAAATGCTATAGACATTTATCTTCTATTAAGAATAAAATGAGGTTATTCTCATTTCACACGACTTCAGTCAGACTTCTTGAAGACTTGCTTGGCAACCACCCCTTGAACTCTCATCTCCTGCAGAGAGGCAAAAAGAGCATTGAGGACGGAGGAAAGAAGAATGGGGGACGGGGCGGGGGTGTAAATGAATAGCGAGAATCAGTGACAGTTTGGCACATCATTAAAGAAACAAATGAGACTGAATCCACAGCACCATCCCGTTTCCCCTCCCTCTCCCTGGCCTCATCCTTTGACCTTGTAATTCATCTCCCACTCTTTTACCATCTACTTATCACCTCCTGTTTTGGCTCACTCCTTCCTCTCTTCCTCCTCCCACTCCCCCTGATTAGTCTCTGGCCGCTCCCTTCTCCTTCTTTGTGTAACCTCAAAAATCCAACATTGCAAATCTTGATCCTCACTGGCATTTCTTTCCCAATTCTCAGCATCACACACGCCATCAACAACAGGCTGCTGTGTACCCACTGCAACAGAGGGATTAGCAATGGTCTGAAAGCTATTTGGTGGAACAATGCTGATAGTTTGAAATCTTAATCAGCACTGATGAATAATCTGTAATCTTAAACTCATTTACAACCAGAGTGCGAAGTTCCAATCCACTCCTTGGGTTTCGGCTCTGATTAGTTTGTCTTCCTTTACTAGGTCCTACTTCCTTCCTCAGCCATGCACAGGCAAACCTCTTTCAGTGTGTGTTATGCAGAGGATACAGTGAACACTGTATTGCTTTTCCCATGTTTGCCTGATTGCTTGCTCACCTTTTTCTTTTTACTGAGTAGGAGACGGATGAGTGACGCACTAACCATGCCCACATGTGAGATTTGAGGATATTTGAGATACTTGAGTTCAGTAAATTGATGAAATCTCATTAATGGAACTGGGTGTTGCATTTTCTATAAAGGCATCAAAGAACAACAGCGTATGTTGAGTAAGAGAGGAGCAGCGTACCGCCATGTTCTTTTACACTGGATTTTAAGGGGGATGGACTTGAGATACCGAGGAGATGTTGCCTGATGGATGACTGAAGTGGGACTGTGCTATAGTTACACTTTATTATCTGTGGAGCCAAGGTGGTGGCACAAATGCAGTGGGAGGAGCTGCACTACCTGGCAGGTGGAATAGACTGCCAGAGAGAAGAGCCTGGGATTAAAGACTCCCTGACATCTGATAAGAAAAAACTTTCCTACACACAAAGGCCGATCTAGTGTCTAAGCCAGAGTACAAGCCAAACATGAACTTCAAGCCCAGTTCTCTCTGTATTTGTTTAACAAAATAAACAAGTCACTGAGCTCTGTGTTTAGAACTGGTGTGTCCATTTCCTATCTGGTCACTCATAGGACTCTGTTTAACATTATGCAGCAGCTACTGTGGAACTTCCACACCCCTTGTTTTATTAGGATGTTCTCCCACATTTACTGTATCAACATAAGCATCCTTTTCAGCTTTATACTTTTAACTTCCTTGTTTTGTATCCTCTCGATGTCTCCCTCTGCCTACTCGCATCTTTTCACTCCATCCATACATCCTTACCAAATGCAGCTTGTCACCCTCCAGCCAGTGTGTCCAGCCTCGTCCCTCTTTTTCGCCTCGCTGTACACACACCAGCTTGTCTCCTTCCCAATTCACTGTAGTCTGCAGAAGCACAGAGGGTTTAATTAGTATGTAAAGCTGCTGGCATGCTGAATCACACAAGGACAAGAACCACTGTCCAATGCAAAAGGGAGACTAATAGTTCTTTTGAGTTTCTTTGTCCTGTCTTGAGTCTTATTTTGCTTCCGCTTGCTCACGTTTTGTTTTGGATCCATAAAAAAAACGCTACTTACTTGAATGAATTTTCTGAATGGATTTGCAAGCTTTAGACTATTATCTTCTCTTTCTCACGCTTGCATGCATTGCTTGTTGTAGGCTGGAGCCAGAACTTAAGCAGGAGGGGGTGATTACAAAACTAAATCACAGCAGTAGGTGGGTCACTCTCCTCAGATGCTCCAAAGCTAACTCGTAGAACATGTAATGGCACTGCATATTCACTGTAGCATCAAACCTGAATGTGCGTCCGAACACATCAGTCTGTTCATCAAGTGAAAACAAAAACACACACCTGACAGGTACGTCCATCCACCGGCCCCAGGTCCTCAGTAAATTCTTCTCCAATAGTGAAATCCATGTTGAAGTTCTTGAAAGTGGTGAGTGTGCGGATTTTCATGGCCCCTGTGTCTGGATTGTGGCTGATCACTTTGGTGGGTTTCAACAGACACACAATCTTCCTCAGAGCAAAATTAATATCTGAGA